AAAAAAAAAAGAAGAAAAACAGACAAAACAAGAAGCCAGATGGAATCGAAACGTAAAAAGGATCGAAGCGTGTGCTGAACATTTCCATGGAAATACCGGAAATCGTGGCGAGGTACTGCCACAGCTTCCTGCTCTCCTGTAGGACAGGCACGCCATTAATCATCCCCGTGGCCTCCATTTCCTCGGTATTAGCGTCTCTCAGGTGGTAACTTTGTAGTTTGCACTCGGGGTACACGACGTGACACGACGAAATCGAGACGACTTACTGAAATCGATGGACCTTTAAATACTCTTCGATCCCAAATTGACGACGAATTCTCTCTCCTCCCTCTTTCCTAAATTCTTTCTCTATCTCTCTACCTCTACTTTTTTTCCCTTCTCTTTCTTTCACGCGACGAGTTTCGCGCTGATCGTTACACACGAGCACTCTTTGTGGAACCTCCCGAAACCAACGAACAAGCTTTAAGTGCACCTCATATTTCGGATTAAGCGAAGCCGATCGAGTGAAACCGAATGGACGCGGCTACACAGCCGAGGGCTGTATATATGATGATATATCGCACACTCCACTATCTTTCTCATCATTATCGCTAGTCACAACTATTATCACTCATAATCGAAGGAAAAAGTGTAGAAATCACGATTAAAGCGGGTATCGTTGCTTTCAATGGAGTAGAAGAATCGACCGCTGCTCTGTGGTTTCGACTTGAAATCGTTGGTTTCGAAGGCTTTTTAAACAGGAATCATTTTCATTCTATTTTCTAAGCACAATTTTTCGGGGATAATTTGAATAAATGAAGCAAGAGAATTTTTTCGAGTTCCTTTGATAGAAAATTTAGATTAAAGCTTCTCCATCACTCAAAGCGCATAATTTCTAAGGTATCAAGCATAAGTAAACCTTAAATCCTTTGCTTCCAAGACTTTTTATGCAGAAATCATTTTTAATTTCTCTTGCAATTCGTTTAATCTTCTGGAAACATTTTTTCCGTGCGGTATATTTCTTTACAGTTGAATAAACGAAGGAAGAGAATTATTCGGAATTTCTTCGATAGAAAATTCAGATTAAGGTTTCTCCATCGCTCGAATCGCCTAATTTCTGAGGTGTCAAACATGAAAAAAATGTTGAATCACTTTTTTTACAGAGTGTATTCTATTTGTAACTGAATAAATTCCGAATTCCCTCGAATGTAAAATCGAGATTAAATCGCGCATTTTCGATGCACTCTTCGCCCTTAAAGAAATTGCTCCCTCGACTTCCGGCGATCTCCCATCCAAATCGCTGTGTTCTTTCATGTCATGACCATTCAGTTCGACTGAAAAGAACCTTACTCGAGAAAGTTCCCGAGCTTTTCCTTTGCCATGTCTACTTTAAAACTCGTCAAAGCTCTCTCTCTCTCTCTCGGTAGACGTCGAATAGAAATTCGAATTACGGTTAAAATCGTGCAAAGTTAGAAACAGATTCCTCGAACGAAATCGTGGAAAATCCTCCGTTGAACGTTTAATTCCGTTCCTCCTTCTCTTTTTCAGCAAAATTGAATTTTCAAAGAGAAGGATCGACCGTGAAAGTGACAAATTCGAAACGTGCGCGAAACCTGGGCTCGATCCGCGATATTCCCTCTGGCACGTGTGCAGTACGGCGAGCTGTTGTTTCGATACATCAACCGTTGACAAGCAGCGTTTATTGGTCGGTAAGAGTGATAAATATTCACGAGGAATTTCCTGCATAAACAACGTGAAATCGTCGCTTTCGCCGTGAAATCCTTGGGAAATTCGAACAAATTCCCGGTGTTCGATCGACGAGGGATTAAAGCTGATTCTGGAGTTGAATGAAAATCGAGAAAACACGGTTTATTATGGAAAATTTATTGGGTCGTTACCGGTAGAGTTCCGTTGTTTTTTCTGTGTTTTAAATATCCGTCGATATCGATCGCGATTTGTTGACGATCAACATGTTTACCATTCTCGTCCTTCGCGGGTAGAAAAATCTCGACTTCCACGGAGAAACTAATATTAGATATTAGATTACAACATTTATTTATACCGTTGAAAAATTTTTTAGAATTTTCTTCAATTTTGAAAAAGAGGATTTATTTAGTTGTTTTTTTTTTTCTGGAAAATCTTGTGGCAAGGCGATGAATGTGCCGTTTCATTGGCATTAAAGGTGAAACAGATTTCTTCTAGTTGATAAAATTGATTTGGAATTGTCATTTTCTAGATCATTGTATTTACCATCGTTGCATCGTCGTGAGTTCATTATTTTGGATGATTTCGAAAGACCGTTCAAGTGTGCCTCTTCTAGTTAATCCATTTGGAAGGCGAATAGGCGAATCAACGTTATCGGTCCATCAATTTTCGAGGTGTTATCA